TGTGTATTCTATGCTTGCTAACTCTCTGATGTTACCGATTCTGCCTACAATGTTTTCCTTCTTCATGTCTTGATGGATTCCCTAAACTTAACACTTACAGAACTTGGACATAAATTGAGATCACTCTGAATTCTATGGCAATTCGTTATAGAGACAGACATCACTGAAGGAATAATTGAGATGATCCTGTCCTAATGGTAAGATCCCACCCCTGTTCTACCTATGTTCCTTGCATTCTTATTAGATAAACATGACAGTATAACTATAGCATTTAGGTCAGATAGGTTTTAGCAATGAAAGCTGGTTCTAAGGAGTGTATATAAAGTATGTAATGCCCTCCCAAATCATATTAAATAGCAAAATCTTGTTAACTTTGTGGTGAACTACCTCCTAAGCTGTCAAACAGAAGGTACTTTTTCTCAGAAGGATGACTATAAACAACACATCCTGAACTCTGCTGATTTTCACAACATAACCAGATTACTGACCTTTACCAAAGATCATGAATATCCACTGGATGAGGAAATATCCTGAGTGGAAGGAAAATTCTTAAGCCTCCTAAAGTCCAGCTGTTACATTAAGGGAGGGTAATAGTTTGGCCCTGCTTAACCTGCAGCCACAGGCAATCTAAGCCCTAACGCTTTACCGTGACTCCTCTATAATAGGGTTGAAATTTACATAGGACATTCCAGCTATCCTGCATGGTAGTCTGAGGGCTCTGAATTTACACAAGGAACCACACATCATCTTAAAATGCTCTATTAAACAGGACTCTTGGCTGCCATCAAATCCAAGTCAAATCAGTTTCAGTAAACAAGGAGAGGAGCATACTGACTTGTGTGATTGGACAGCAGAGGGACAGAGAACATGATTCAACATAGGTCATCAGGAGTCACGCCACCTCCCATCCCCACCTCTCAATACTGTTTTTCTTTCTGTGTTAGCTTCATTCCCTCTTAAATCCCCATAGGTATCCTTCGTGTAGCAGTGAAGAATAGCCATCAGCCATCATGAGTGTAGGCCTCACATTCCAACATCATGACACAAGGTTTAATGGTAGAGCCAGCTGCCTGTCCAACTTTAACATCATGACTGGCTTGGTTGCGATCACCTGCACATTACCCAAGTAATCGTTATTGTCATAATACACACAATGTCTAACCAAATCCCACCTCCTGTGACCAGAAGAGTGGAGTTCTTTAATTGATAGGCCTATTAGAACCACATAGAGTGGATGTAGGAGGTTCCTCCCTACACAAGGGATGCCAACCAGCTAAAAATAACTTATGCATACATTCACTTCAAATGTCTATATCGAAGCCAAAGCTGGCTAGAGTCACTGCCAGAATCCATCCTTTTTTTACTCCATCCTGGCCACATTGGCCTCCTTGCTATTCTTCAAACAAGCCATACACACTCCTGTCTCTGAGCCTTCACACTTCCACCTGGAATACTTCCCCCAGATAATCACATGGTTATTCCCTCACTTCCTTAACATCTGCACTCAAAAGTCACCTTATCAGTGAAAATCACACTAAAATGGCAACATTCCTGCGTCTCTACACACATACACATCTAACCTCCCTACCCAGCTTTAGCTTTTTCCTAAGCATTTTTCATTATCTAATATACCCTTATTTTACTTACTGTCTCAAGACCATAACATATGAGAACAGAAACTTTTTTGTTTCATTTACTGTCTTACACCTCCAGCTCTTAGTACAGTGCCTAGCACGGATATTTGATGAATGAACAAATGGTGGAATTGACCAGGGGTGCCTAATCACTCTCAGTATTAGATAATGTACACTGCAGTATTATACAGGAAGGAGTACAGAACAGTACAGTCCATGAATACAGTCCTCATTTATCAGCCTCCCTGGGGTACCACAGCTTAGTGAGTATGTCTTGACCTCAGTGCTGTGGAACTAAACCAAGTGTGGGTTTTCCACAGTTCTCTGGGAGGAGTGCTAAGATGCCCTTAGATCAATTCAAGCCCTATCTCACATCCTTGTTACGTCTGTGGAATCTGCATGACTAAGTAGCTGCTTGGTTTCCTAATTCACACTCCTTTTTCCCACTAGGACTTAAATCCTATTCTGAATGGTATCCCTGACACCCTGCCTATCCAGGAGGATCCTGACTCCCAATCCAAAACCGTTAGCTAGGGTACTACTTTATGCAGACAGACCACCTGGAACAAAGATGCTGCCTACAGTCAGAGGCAGAATATTGCCAGAAACAGATAATACTATTACAACATTCATCCACCAGACTGGATTCCCTTCAATACTGATTTGGCCTGATTTTCCTGGACTTTGACAATTCCCTGGGTACCCGATGATTTCCTTTGCAGTTCCACAACAGAGTTATTTCCCCTACACTAATTCCTCCAGTTTCTAGCTTTTTCCCTCTGACTAGCAGGCCTCACAGCTATGAATGCCTCATGCAGGATTACAAAACGAGTACTGTGATGTCTATTAATCCCTGAACACCTCTCAAACCCTTGTAAGAACTGGCAAAAGTCCTTCATGCTTGGGTTTATCTCCACACCTGGGACCCCAAAGTTAGAAATGAAATAGCACATATGAAAGCACTTTCAAAGTTCAGAGTTGTCTGCAAATGTACCCACATACACATTCAGTGAAGAAAAGATAGACTGTTTAAAAAATATCGTTGAGACAAATGGCTAACCATTTGGAAAAGAGTAAAGCTGAGGGCTTCCCTCGTGGCGCAGTGGTTGAGAGTCCGTCTGCCGATGCAGGGGAAACGGGTTCGTGCTCCGGTCCGGGAAGATCCCACATGCCGCGGAGCGGCTGCGCCTGTGAGCCATGGCCGCTGAGTCTGCGCGTCCGGAGCCCGCGTACCGCAAAAAAAAAGAAAAAAAAAAAAAAAAAAGTACCATTAGAAAGTCAAAAGTAAACAAGTTGGGAAAAATATTTTTAAAACATGACAGACAAGAGATCAACATTCTCAATAACGAAACAGTTATTACAAATCAATTTTTTAAGTGAATAATCTAATAGAAAACATGATTACAAAAATAAATATAAATGACCAAACAAAATCTCAAAATATGTTTATCTTCTTTAATAATCAGGAAAATATTACCTAAAACAAAAAATAGTTTTTTTTATTTTTTCATCTATGTATGGCAATATTATATAACATTATAATACCCTACTTTTATAATGCCTGTTTTGATGCTATAGGGAGTAATTTGTTGCAATTTCTTTAGAAGATGATTTTTCTACAGAAATATGAAAAATAAAAGTGCATACACCTGGGCTTCCCTGGTGGCGCAGTGGTTGAGAATCTGCCTGCCAATGCAGGGGACACGGGTTCGAGCCCTGGTCTGGGAGGATCCCACATGCCGCGGAGCAACTAGGCCTGTGAGCCACAACTACTGAGCCTGCGCGTCTGGAGCCTGTGCTCCGCAACAAGAGAGGCTGCGTTAGTGAGAGGCCCGTGCACCGCGATGAAGAGTGGCCCCCGCTTGCCACAACTAGAGAAAACCCTCGCACAGAAACGAAGACACAACACAGCAAAAATAAATTAATTAATTAATAAACTCCTACCCCCAACATCTTCTTTAAAAACAAAAAAAGTGCACACACCTTATGCACCTATCAAGTCCTCTTCTAGGAATTTATCCTACTTCCACAAGTGTGCAAAGATATCTATTCATGAGTGCTCACTGTAGCATTGTTGTAATAACAAAACCTAATTAGTGATCAATAAGACACTGGAGATATAAACGGAATAATATGCCTCCATTAAAAACAATCATGTAGGAAAATGTTACTATGACAATGTGAAAACCACATGGGAACAATGATAACAAGAGAAGAGGCCACCCTCTCATATCTAACTAGTGCTTGGAGTGAATGAGGACTTTGTGTTTTTATGGTAGTTTAGGGTTTGTTTGTTTGTTTTTTTAAATCATGTAGGTCGGTACGTATTGATATAAAAAGACTTCCAAATATATTGTTTAAAAAATTTTAAAGGCTTTAGAACAGTATTTTGAGTTAAAATACATACATGGTAATATATATATCCAGAATGTCTGGATGTTTACAATGAAGTGTTTTCTTTGGAGGAGAGAGACTAGGGGAAGGAGGAAAGCCTCAAAGCCCAATGCAAAGATCAACAAAAAATTAGCCGGCCGGCAGTAGGTCAGGCTACTCTCCAAGTCGTTGGTCCTGTTCATTAACTTTTCTGTAACATTAATTCAAGAATTGCCCTTATCAGTCACTGAACAACCTGGGGAATCGCTCAAAAGACCGTGCGTTAACATTGGTATGCTGTTTGCTGCTAAGGTTTTAGAAGACCATCGTCTTTTAAGCAGGAATATCTTACAGATACTCATTTTGTCATGATACCTGTATCTCCCATTCCAGCAGTGATCGGTTTGAATTGCTCTGAAAAGAAACTTTTGAAATAAGATGTCATTACATAACTTCAATGAAACAACTCGAACGCTTGTGCAAACTGTTTTTTTTATTTTATTCTGTAAGAAATCTCTAAAATTTAATGACATTTCCTGCAACTGTAGAGAAGGCTGAATGAAATATGAACAGGCGCTTTTTCAACTACATTTCTCACCAGCCCTTTTCATTGTTGAGAAAGTGTTTTTCCTAGTGATTTGTACAACGTTAACGTCCGTGAGACAACCAGAAACTGTGAAGAGCAAACTGGCCTGAAACCCACCAGAGCTGCACAGGTTTTCTTCTTCATTTGAGCCTCAAGGCTCACACAGCCAGATATGTCTCTTCACCTCTGAAAATCGTTAAACAGCCTCCCCACAGCGACATACAAGTCAAAGGCACAGGTGTCAGGGCTAGAGTGTGAAAGGCACCCAGCGAACTTTTTTCCCCCTGCGAAGTAACACCTGCCCCCGACTCTCTGTACGCGAAGAGCTTAAGCGGGAACCAGCGAGGCCAGCGGAGACTACAATTCCCAGCAGGCGTAACGGGAGCGGGGTTCCGCACGCGCAGTTCAGACCTTCGGAACGAAGGCCCGAGGCGGGGCTTCTAGGAGAGGAAAATGGCAGCACGCCGGCTGTGGTTTGACGTGGGCTGGCTGTTTGCGATGGGGGCAGAGCTGGGGAGCGGAAGACGAGCTTACTGCACGTCCCAGGCCTTCACGGAGGTTCTACGGCTGCCAAGCAAGCAGCTGACGAAGCTCGTGTTCCCACTGCAAGAACTCGAGCGGCATTTCGTCCCGGGCTCGAGGCCCGACCTTCACCTGAAGATCTTCAACCCAAGCCTGGATGACATCGCGAGGGCGGAGAGCGTCTTCACGGCTTCTTCGCGGAACCGCATCGAGTACCTCAGCTCCGCCGTGCGTCTCGACCACGCCCCGGACCTCCGCCGCCCGGAGGTGAGAACGGCAGCCGGATGTGGGTGCTGAGGATTTGGGCTGGGATTTTGCTGTCGTCTCTTTCTTGTCAGCAGACCGGCGAGATTTACTAGCTTTCTGTGGACGCATATCATTATTATAACAAAGTAAGCAGATATAGTTTTAATTATTTTGGTAGTGAATATAAAAGACTTTAAAAGGCGTTTAAAAACTTAACCATTTATCTTTATTTCTAATTAATTGCAGTAGAGAATACATGCCGAGGCAAATTAGACAAAGTGAAGAATATGAAAAGTATAGGAGTTTCACAAATGAAGTGATTCTTATCAGTACGTAATTTTCACCCAATCTAAATTTCCTATCGTGGCAAAAAAAATTTATATATAGATGGCAATAATGTATAAGATTTTTTAAAACAACTTAAGTGAAATTCAGTGAGTGTGCATTTTATTCATGTCCTGCAGTTTACTATTTTGTTCTGTCTGTTAAATGAAGGCTCTGACCTCCTTACATACTTGTGATAACGGTACCACTGCACTGAAACTTTTCTGCTAATATATTTAGAACTGCTGTAATAATTTAAGAGTACATAAATCACTTAATGATTTTGAGATAGCATCGATTTTCAATTTTCTAAATTACTGGACTTTTTGTGTAATTGGCTTTTCAATTCAGTTTTATTATCTGTATATTATCATTGGATTTAATCTGGGAGAGCATTTGAAATTTTTGCAGGACCCAAATCAATTCATTCTGAAGGACTGACCCCAGTTTTGCAAAATGTGTAGCATTGCTGGCCCCTGCCCACTAAATGCCACCCAATCCTATTGATAACCAAAAATGCCCTTACAAAGTTCTAAAACACCCCAGGGGGAGGTACTGCCCTCATTTAGAAGCACTGATTGGAAATGTACCCTCTTCAATACTGTATTAAAAAGACGAGCCATGTGTATTAATCGTTAATATTAGAAATATTTTGTTGCTTTCTACATTCAGACTAAAGGAGAAAAGCTTAATTGGAACAAGAAAGGTCAAGAGAAAGGAGTAATTATAATGGTGCTATGGTGTACTTTGAGAGTTTGTGGGGAAATGGGGTTCCAAACACAGAGCCAGTTCTGTTGAAACGCGTCTAGTTTGTAACTTCAAAAAAAGCTTTGTAGGGTCTTCCCTGGTGGCGCAGTGGTTGAGAGTCCGCCTGCCGATGCAGGGGACGCGGGTTCGTGCCCCGGTCCGGGAAGATCCCACATGCCGCGGAGCGGCTGGGCCCGTGAGCCATGGCCGCTGAGCCTGCGCGTCCGGAGCCTGTGCTCCGCAACGGGAGAGGCCGCAACAGTGAGAGGGCCGCATACCGCAAAAAAAAAAAAAAAAAAAAAAAAAAAAAAAAAAAAAAAAAGCTTTATAAATATGGAATTCTTAATAAATGTTGCAGATATTCTTGAGTGTCATAGTGTAATTAAAAGCACAGGTTCTGGATGTAGATGCCCTGAGTTCAGATTCCAGTTTCTTCACTTTCTGGCTGTATAATTTTGGGCCAGTTATTTAACCTCTCTCTACCTCTAGTTTTATCACCTGTAAAATGAGGATACGAATATTATCAGTCTCATGGAGATATTGTAAAAAGTAAATAAGAAATGTGTTAAGTGCTTTTAAAACAGTACCTGCCACATTGAAATCATTTAGTAGATAGTAGCTGTCTATTAGAATTTGAGGTTTGACTAACTATAAGCCACTTTTTATGGTTAGGCAAGACTGAGTAGTATTCACAGATTTTTGCAGCTAATACATTATATAGTAATATATATATAAACTAGTACTCAATTATCTTCTTTTTGCTTGTATAAGGTGTGTTTTATAGGCAGAAGCAATGTTGGAAAATCGTCTCTAATAAAGGCTTTATTTTCACTTGCCCCAGAGGTTGAAGTTAGAGTCTCCAAAAAACCGGTATGTTAAAATTTAAAATATATCTAACTATCTCTGAATTGACTAAGATGAATAATAAATGTTGAGGGGGTAGAAGAAACCATCATTGCTAAGTTCCTAGAAAAGTGATTTCTTTCACACAAGTATTAATGTAAGACATTTCATTAATGCCTGTGTGTTTCTCTGAAGAAAAGGAAGTGTATCTGGAGTTATTTTAGTAGACTGCCAGTATCTTGGGGAAATCTTCCTTGGTCCAGTCTTTTCCAAAGAGTTGTTCTAGTGTCATTTTATATTTGCTTCTTTGAGAATGATCATCTGCTTCTACTTTGATTTTAAAGAAAACAGCTTTAAAGTGTATTATTTTTTCCTCCTGTAATCTTTTATACCTTGCTAACTCAAATATATACACCCATCAGGCAATTCCCAGTTTACCCAGGGCCAAATTATGTGCCTAATATCCCAGCCAGCCTGCTGTAGTAGCTTTCTGTCATTTTCTCATTTCCTCTGCTTCCTTCTCAATAATGCAGACTCTACCAATATTTAAGATATCCTCTCCTCAAAACTCACCTCAGTTTTCCTCACCTTATTATCTATCCTTGGCAAAATGTTCACACCAACCCAGTGCTCACTGCCCCTGTTGCCTTGCACTGGAACCCTTCCCTGAGGCTTCACTGGTCTTCTCTTGCTCCGCAGTTTTTCCTATGGTTGATTCCCTGATACCATCCCTGACAATTGTAGTCATTTGTTAACCCTCCTAGCTTTACTTCCTCCTGCCCTGCCTCACCAAATACCCCAGCTAAACTCTTACTTCTAGGTAGGGTTGTTCCCTTTCTGCTGGGAGAGGACAATGGAAGAAATGTATTCTTGACATTCCTAATCTGTAATTCTAAAATTATTTTCCTATAATTTTAGGAAAATATAGGTAGACACTTAAGCTGCCTGGGAACCTAAGCATCATTTATAAAATCTTTCCTCTGAAAATAATTCTTCTAAGTTCTAAACAATTGACTTTTAAAGTTATTTGTGTTAATCTTTCCTTTTCTGATTAATAATGTCCGTGGACACGAAACCACATGAATAAACCACTTTTTATCATCTTTACATCAGTTTTAGTTGCACATTTTACAGTTGTACATGCTTTTTAAAAAATGCTTAATGAAAGCACTAAACCCAACTAATAAAACATGCAAAACATCTTGATTTTAGGAAAGTTATAGTCTAGGCATAATAAACTATCAGGCTTTGCATCTAGGTGTTATGCAAACTTGTATGACTGATAGTAAGCATTTAATTTAACCTATCTGTGCCATAATTCATTCTTCTTTAAAGTGGAGTTATATTGTTCATCAGAGAATATTGACTAATGCAGTCGTACTATTTAGAACAGTATAACTTTTTCACAGAGAGGGAGCTAATGAAGTAGGAAAGACTCGAAAATATTTTGCCTACGTTATTTCTAATATGGAATCTAAAGTTCTTAAATCATATAGATTCTCTTTAAAAAATGAATTGGAGGGAAGTAGTAGTATCATCTAAGCTTATCTCCAGCCACTTGTCTTCTGTCTTCTTTTCCTGTATCTTCATCAGCATAGGGTTATATACAGAATACTTTTATGCTTTTAATAAGTAATTGTTAATTGAACAGAAAATATTTTGAGTCATGAAATATATAAAGGACATATTTTAAGAAAGCTTTTATTTTTCCATTTACTTTATCAGGGCCACACAAAGAAAATGAATTTTTTCAAAGTTGGAAAATATTTTACATTGGTGGACATGCCAGGTTATGGCTATAGAGCACCTGAAGATTTTGTTGACATGGTAGAAACCTATCTAAAAGAACGAAAGAAGTAAGAAAAACATTTTTCTTATAATTGTTATGTTGAACCCCCCAAAGTTCTCATGACTAGGACATTCTACACATGATGAACACTTCAGTTTTATCAAATGACTTTTTTAGAAAGTCCACTTTATTCCCTTAATATTCTACAATACAGTATTTAGGAGCAAGGTATATACTGCCTGCTTAGTTTTTTCCTGTAAGTTAGCTTAAACTTAATTTCAATTGTTTTCCTAAATTGAGACTATCAATAGTAGTTCAGCAGACTTTATTAATTTTTTTATACCAAACTCTAAGCTGGCTGTTTTTAAAAATGAAAAATGTTGGTTAATGTGCTATTTACCAGATTTAAATAAACTTCAGTAAATTCTGATTATCCTTAAAATACTTCTGACATCATAGCCTCTGTAAATACTACCTTTTTTTATCTCCATAGGTAGTCAAGTAGCAGGTCTATGTTTCAAGCATTGCACAATATATAGAAAAATTAATGTTAACCTTTTGAAGAATAAAAAAGTGTTTACAAGTATCTTGCTTGTTGTAGCTTTACATAGAAACTAAGATAAAATACTTGCAAAAGAAAATGAAAAATATAACGTTTGGTTTCTATTATCTGTTAGTCTTAAAGTAATATTTGAAAATTTAGACATTTTTATGGTAACTTATAGTTAATTGGGTTCCTGTTTCTTTCTCCCACTAGAGTTCAAGCTCTTAGAGGAAGGGGCTCGTTCATCTTTGTATCCAGTTCTAGGCAGAATATCTTATGTTCAATATATGCTATTGAAATAAATTAATATTAATGAATTTAGTTACTGAATGTAAACATTGAGACCTGTTGGACTGTAGGATGGACTTCATAGTGAATTGAGAATTCCTTTTGCTTAAAGAAATTTTTAAATTTTGAATTGATAATTATTCAAAGTAAAATTTCTTAGTATAGTGAAGGTTGGGGGGAAGAAATGAATGAGTATATTTTATATTGCCGTTAATCTTCTTTTCTGCATTCTTATAGTTTGATGAGAACATTTTTGTTAGTGGATAGTGTTGTTGGAATTCAAAAAACAGACAACATTGCCATAGAAATGTGTGAAGAATTTGCATTACCTTATGTGGTAAGTATTTCTTTTGAATCATAGTTGCAATTAGAAATACAAGTTCCCTGTGTGTCTATGTGTGTGTGTGCATGTGCACATGTGTACATCTTTTTAATGAAAGAGTAGGTCTTGCCTCCTCAAAAGATAAAGGGGTACCTTTTAAACAATCTTTTCAATTATCAGCCATTAATATTAAAATAAGTTCTGTGGTACTTTTATTCCTTTTTCCTTCTCCTAGCTTTTAAGTTTTCAAAATTATAGTCAAAGTAGAAGTTTTCTAAACTGTTCATTTAGTGTTCCTAAGTGCATTTCTTTGTTTTTTGCTTTTTTTTTAAATGACAATATAAATATTTGCTAAGACTCATTTGTAGCTCCTTATCAGCATGTTGGCAGATAGTACTTATCAGAATGTAAACAAAACTGCAACTGAAAAATTTGCTAAACTAATCTGGAATTTATGAACATCAGAAGAATATTGTAGGCTCTAGCACACATAAGTAGGATGTTTATATTCTTAAGGAAAACAAAATTTCTTATGAGAATATATTACCAGTTCTTACTGTTGTTTACCCTAGAATAGAATACAGATTGGTAGGTTGGTATCCACATTTATTTTGCTTTGTAGGTTTTCCAGATAAAATGGCAGTCTTAAAGTTCCTCTCTAAGGAAAAGAGCCCACTGACTATAATTTGGTTTCAAAAAAAAGTCAGAAAACCACTAAAATGTAGTGGTTTTGGAGTTTAATGCAAATCGAACCATGTTACCAGTCAGAAACTTTTCTGTATTCTTGGGGTTATGGAATTCTTGGGGTTTGCAAAAGCCCTGTGAAACATTAGAGATAATTTATGGTTATGAGGAGCCAAAGGATTGATAAACATAGTCTACGTAGTAAAAAAAAAAGAAGCCCAAATATTGTGCAACCGGTTATATTAAGTGACAGTGATAGTACTCCTAATTTGATATCATAGATACCATTTTGTGGAATCATATATTTTTCTCAGTTTTAACTTTAAGGAAATATTAACCTTTCTTCTTTGGAAAAGAAGTTGTGATAGAGAAATTATGTCTCCTTTTAAATATTTGCCTTTATGAAAAAAGACTTTCACTTTCTGCTTCTCACTCCTTTTACCATTAATATTTTTTTAATTGAAGTATAGTTGATTTACAATCATTAATTTTTTTCATAACTGAAAAGCATAAATGATTAATCAGGAAATTTAATTTTATAGAAATTCCCTAGGAAAACCTCTGACAGATACATCAAGCTTTTACTTTTTTTTTTTTTGCGGTACGTGGGCCTCTCACTGTTGTGGCCTCTCCCGTTGCGGAGCACAGGCTCTGGACACACAGGCCCAGTGGCCATGGCTCACGGGCCTAGCCGCTCTGCCCCCTGCATTGGCAGGCAGACTCTCAACCACTGCGCCACCAGGGAAGCCCTCAAGCTTTTACTTTTTAATTGATTTTGTAATCATCCATGCATTGACCTTCCTCTAGTATGTATTGATAATTGTCATTGAGTAAGTAAATTATTCAAAGTATTTACTGTTGAACCTAGTAGAATCTAGGCTTACTTGGAATATAACTATATATCGGTATAGCTTGGAATATAACTCTAGTGGCTACAACCTACAATTAGCCTGATTTCTAATTTTTCCTTTAAATTTTACATATAAGGCAGAACAATTATGTAGTTCAAAAATGATTATAAGTTGGCAGTTTTATATGGATCAACCTAATAATATTCACTTCTGTATCTTAGACCATAAGATATATAGTGATCGTATGAAACATTTGGCATATGGCAATTGCAAACATGGCTCCAGGGTGCTTTTCACTGGTCTTGAATCAAAGATATTATGGCCCTATGTAGTTAAAGCATTGGAAACAGCAAACATATATAGTGTATGCTTTATATATTGCATACATTAACTCATTTAATCTTCTCAGCAACTCCTTTAGGAGGTATTGCTTTTATTTTATAGATGAGGAAACAAGTACAGAGAGATTAAGAAACTTGCATAGGTCACCTAGTTGTTACTGAAATTTGTAACTAAAATGTATAAAACTGTAGAGTAAGAAATAACAGTTGACCCTTGAACAGTGTGGGAGTTAGGGGCGCCAACCCTCCTTGCAGTCACAAATCCAAGTGTAACTTACAGTCACCCCTCCCTATTGGGGGTTCCTCCATATTGGCAGTTCCACATCTGTGGATTTAATCAACCACAGATCGTGTAATATTGTAGTATTTACTATTGAAAAAATATGCATATAAGTGGACCTTTGCAGTTCAAGCTCATGTTGTTCAAGGGTCACCTGTACTTTATTTCTAATGCTTAAATATTTGTTTTCCTACAGATGGTATTGACAAAAATTGACAAATCTTCCAAGGGACATCTTTTAAAACAAGTCCTTCAGATCCAGAAATTTGTTGACACTAAAACACAAGGATGTTTTCCTCAGTTGTTTCCTGTAAGGTAAGAGTTGAATTGTCTTTATGTACTAACATATAACTTTATGTACTAACAACCTTTAGTATTAAATCAGTGTATCTGAGGTATCACTTAAAATTAGAGGAGTTTGGAAGACTATGCACTTAGCCATAATTTATTGGTACAACCCATCAACACTTTTTTTCTTCCCTCTATTCTTTCTTTTTTCTGCAGATTCTTGCTAAATCTTCCCTGTAGTATCGTCATGATCTTTCTACCTCAGCCTATTTCAACCCTAGACCACAGTAGAAGTGAAAACTTTTTACTTTTTAAATCACCTAAACAACAGCCATAATAAAGATACTACCATCTCTTTCTCAATTCTAAAGAAAAACAACTCATCTTTATGGTAGAAAGCTCATTCAGGCTGTGAAGGATAAGAATTTTCCTTTTGAAGGACGATGTGCAAAGAAGAAATGCTTCGTATAAGTTAGAATTAAGCATCAGTAGCAGACAGGATGGTTATTTCCTGAGCAGCAATTTTTGAGATATTAGATGTGGTTTAGCAATGAAACATGAGTTTGTCTTTTCAGTGTACAGTTTGGGTACAGTAAGTAACCTATATACTAGCAGAAATGCAGTGCCACTTCCCTGTGATTTTCTGACTCTAACTTCTTTGACACTATTATAGTTTCTATGAGAAAATAATGAAACCAAGTAACACTTAGTTGTATATGAAACTGTCCTCTAAACAGTCATTCTACTTCCTACAAATCCAGATCACAAATTGTTGGTAATTATGAACATGCCAGTCTAAATCCATCTTCATTCTTTCCTACAAAATGTTTTTCCCCCTTGTCTTACATTCAAGTATTTATCCTGTTCATTTGTCTGTGTCCCATATATACAGTGGAAACTCCTAGGGGCAGGAATGAAATCCTAATTCTTCTTAGAGCCCTGAGCATTGGCATAGAAATATATCTGTTTCTTTTAAACATTTAATAAGAAAGAAGTGAGACTTCCTCTAAAAAGGCAAAACAAACATAAGATGGGCAAATTATGGCCTAACAGCAGCATTTATTGAAAAAAAAAGTTTTAGTTGACTGTAAGCTGAGTTAAATAGTATAGTGGGACTGGGGAAAAACTGACAATGTTTTCTTGAGCTACTTTATTAGAATTATAGTGTTCAAAACAAGGGAATGATCAAACAGTAGTCTCACACTGCTATAAGCTGTATGCTACCAGATCAATTGAGCTAGATTGTGGCTTGACATTAAGAACAACTAGAGCTATCTGAAAACAGATGGTCTTGGGGGAGGTTATGTCACTAGATCATTCAAAACACTTAATTGATCCACAAAGTAAGCATCCTTGTTTCACAGATACGATTACAAGTCGGAGAAGTGAAGTGAGTTACAGAGAGGTATTTGCTGAAATAGAAAGAGCATGAAAAAAAAAAAAAAAAGCATGGACCTCAGGGTCAGACAGCCATGGTTTTGCATGGTTCCCCTACTTCTTGGCAGTAGCTTTTAAAAAAGCAACTTATTTCATTTTCTGAGTAAAAAAATATGACAGAAGGATTAAATAAAATGCATTGTGACTGATATACACACATTAGCCACATAATAAATGTTAGTTTCTTTCCTTCCCAAAGGTCAGTCAGTGAATGGCAGGGTTAGGCCAACAACCCAAACTATCAGATTCTCAGTACTTTTTAGAGGCGTACCCTTCTTTAGATGTGCCAGCATTTTCTGCTGCATGACCTTGGAATCACTGCCACTGTATCACTAAGTGACTAAGGCACTGCAGAAGCCACACAGCACTCAAGGTCTTAAGAATTGAGACACACGCAGGAGGCTGCTGGCTTTCAAGAACTTCAATGTTCACCATACCACAGTGACAACATACAGGAAGTTGTCAGGTTGTACTCTGTAGTTCTCAAAACCCAATTCAGAAAATAGAGTTATTTATACTGCTTGCTTGTATTTGCTTGACCAAGTCCCAATACATCCCTCCAAAAGAGGATTTGGCCTACTCACAGAATAATTATTATAAAGTAAGTCAGGTTTTATTTCCTTATCTTCCTGTATGATCTTGGTAGGAGAAAGATGGAAGTGTGGGTAGACATGTAGTCTAACAGGGTTTGGCTTTTAAGCCTGCTGGCAAAAGTTAAGTGCTAACCTTCATGTCTGAACTCTGCCCCAGCTGAGTAGAGAAATAAAATTGGTGAAAGACCCCTAAAGATTGATTCTGGGATCAGTCTGTTTTTATAAATGGTATGGAAGAAATATATAAGTAGGCACAATATAATTGTTTCTGTGGTTTTCAAGCAAATGAGAACTGAGTCTTAAGGACAAAGAAAATCATATGAGTTGACAGAAATGTTGCAAATCAGTTCACAGTGCCATAGTGTGTGGACTATCCAACTTGTATCGCTCCTGTAAACTGTACATGTGTAACTTCAGTTATAACTGAGAATCATTATGCACTGTTCTCAAGTAGGCAGCTTTGGTCAAAAAGTCTAAAATGCTGTACTTTATCAAAAAGAGAATTAGCAATACAGCAGAAAATATTTTACCTGTGTTATATACAGGTATACACCATACATGTATCCATAAACGTCATAGTGTCTCCATAAAAGTCCACATATCCCAAGAAACCATGTGTTCATTTCCATGCTGATAAATGGATGAAAGGATATGGATGGATACAGTAAGATAGATCGAATAATAGACACAATAATGGTGATGATTTTTTTTTAAAAATCATGATAAAAGGTCTACATTATCATGGTAATTGAATCTTTGAGACAAAAAGAACAAATTAAATCAGAATTTTAGTCTGGGAAATAAAAAGCAAAACAGAAGATATTCCAATGGCATTTCTCACAGAAATAGAACTAACAGTCCTAAAAGCTGTGTGGAACCACAGAAGACTGCAAATAGCCAAAGCAACCTTAAGAAAGAACAAAGCTGGAGGCATCACACTTCCTGATTTCAAACTGTGTTACAAAGCTATAGTAATGAAACAGTACGGTATTGGCATAAAAACAGACACATAGGTCAGTGGAACAGAATAGAGAGCCCAGAAATAAACCCATGCATATATGAGCAATTAATTTACAAAGGAGCCAAGAATATACAATGGGGAAAGGACAGTCTCTTCAATAAATGGTGCTGGGAAAATTGGACAGCCACATGCAGAAGAATATGTTAAGACCTGAAACCATAAAACTCCTAGAAGAAAACAGGCCCTAAGTTCCTTGACATCAGTGTAGGTGATCAGTTTTTGGATCTGACTCCAAAAGCAAAGGCAACAAAAGCAAAGATGAGTAAATAGGACTACATTAAACTAAAAGCTTCTGCACAGCAAAGGAAATTATCAACAAAATGAAAAGTCAGCCTACTGAATGGGAGAAAATATTTGCAAGTCATATATCTGATAAGGGGTTAATATCCAAAATGTATAAAGAACTCATACAACTCAATAGCAAAAAAAAAAAAAATCGGATTAAAAAATGGGCAGAGGATCTGAATAGACATATTTCCAAAGAGAACATACAGATGGCTAACAGGTATATGAAAAGATCCTCTAATCATCCTCACTAAAGATCCTCACTAATCATTATGGAAATGCAAATCAAAACCACAGTGAGATATTACCTCACATCTGTTAGAATGGCTATTATCAAAAAGACAAGAAATAACAAGTATTGGCAAGGATGTGGAGAAAAGGGAATCCTTGTGCACTATTGGTGGGAATGTAAATTGGTGCAACCACTAAGGAAAACAGTATTAAGATTCCTCAAAAAACTGAAAATAGAACTACCATGTGATCCAGGAATACACTCCTGGATATATATCTGAAGAAAATGAAAACATTAATTCGAAAAGATATATGCACTCCCATGTTTGTTACAGCATTATTTTCAATAGCCAAGATATGGAAACAACCTAAGTGCCCCTCGGTGAATGAATGGATAAAGAAAATGTGGTATTATACAGTTGACCCTTGAATAGTGTTAGCGGTTAGGGGCTCTGACCCTTGGCCCAGTCGAAAATCCAAGTATAACTTATAGTCGACCCACTATATCCACATTTTCTCCGAATCCCTGGATTCAGCCAACCAGGTGTAATGCTGTAGTATTTACCATAGAAAAAATCCACATATAAATGGATAAATGGAATTCAAACCCATGTCGTTGAAGGGTCATTGTGTATACACAACTGGAATACTATTCATTCACAAAAAAGAAGGAAACCTTGCCATTTGCGACAACATGGACGGGAGAGCATTATGCTAAGGGAAATGAGTCAGAGAAAGACAAATACTGTGTGATCTCACTTACATGTGGAATTTAAAACAACAACAAAACAAGCTCATAGATGCAGAGGAGAGATTGGTGGCTGCCAGAGGTAGAGGTTGGGGGTAAGAGAAATGGGTGAAGGTCAGAAGGTACAAACTTCTAGTTCTAAAATAAGCCATGGGGATGATGTATTGTACAGTATGGTGACTACAGTAATACTCTGTTGCATATTTGAAAGTTGCTAAGAGAGAAGATCTTAAAAGTCCTCATCACAAGAAAAGAAAATATTTTTTAACTATAAATGGTGATGGATATAACTAGACTTATTGTGGTGATCATTTTGCAATATATACAAATATCGAATTGTTGTACCCCTGAAACTAATATAGTGTTATGTGTCAATTATACTGCAATAAAAAACAAAACAAAACAAACAGAAAAACACTTTTAGTCTGGAAAATAAAAGGCAAAACAGTAGATGTGAAATTTTTAGAATCATGAAGGACATAGATCCGATAATGTGGATCTCCAGATTTAGGATACTTCAAGAGGCTGGGGGAAGAGAGGAAAAGTAGGACAGATTAAGACATTCTGTTTCATACATGGAACTCACAAGAGTTTGTAAACAGATTTTTTTTTTTTTTTTTTAAGAGTTGGGGTCTCACTATGTTGCCCAGGCTGGAGTGCAATGGCTCTTCACAGGCACGATCCCACTACTGATCAGCATGGGAGTTTTGACCTGCTCCGTTTCCGACCTGGGCCAGTTCACCCCTCCTTAGGCAACCTGGTCGTCCCCCACTCCCGGGAGGTCACCATATTGATGCCGAACTTAGTGCGGACAACCGATTGGCATAGCGCACTACAGCCCAGAACTCCTGGGCTCAGGCAATCCTCCTGCCTCAGCCTCCCGAGTAGCTGGGACTACAGGCGCATGCCACTGCACCTGGCTGTAAACAGATTTTGAGTTAGATGAATTCAGATCTGTTACTACCTCTGAAGTAAGGAAGAAAATGATTTTGCTTTTTTTCTTTTTTTTCCACAGTGCTGTGACCTATTCTGGAATCCATCTCTTGAGATGCTTTATAGCAAATATAACAGGAAATCTGGAGACTAATGGCTTCCAGTTTAGCTGAAGATTCAAAATTGTCTATGCCAACTGAAGTTAAAGACTTAGAATTTCAACATTGTTTTAAATGTTGTGTATCTGTAACTTGCAGGATCACTTCAGCTTTAAAACCTGCATATTCCCAAAGCAAGAATGAATTTGTGCCTGCAGCGGGGGAAAGGTTTATACATGATTGAATTATGCTGTTCATTAGAAGAGATACCAGCCATTTTTCCTGTTTTAACAAACTGACAAACAAGAGCATATAGAGGTCCATAAAATGCAAGTCTATTGCCTACTGTGTAGACAAGGTTTGCCATATTATGTATTGGGTTTTTGTCTTTTAAAGGAATGTCTATTATGTATATTTTATTAAAATATTACAATGGACTAGGTAAAAAAGGGGCTACTTTTCTGCTAAGCACTAATAGATAGGTTGAAGATAAATTCTTATATGTATGGCTATAACTTATCTTTTTTTAGAGACCTTATTTGAATATAAAAAAAATCATTCTTCATAAAATTTGAGTCAGTCCATACTGGAAGTACCAGTTATTTCAGGCTGGGGTCAGTCACCTTCACAGGGTTCAGAATCAGAAGACCAGAATTCAAGTTCCAGTTCTAATATTTATTACATGTTGGACGTTGGGCAAATTACTTGAGTTCTCTGAACTTCTTTTGTAACTCTTACCTCAAAAGCTATGAAGATTAAAATGTGAAAAGGACATCTGCATATTCTAAGTATTTGTAAAGCAAAACTAACTCAAGTATATAGCAAAATTCACAGGTAGATTTATCACAGAAAACATCCTGTCATAGAAGAAGTAACATTTTATCTAATGAAAGACCAAAAAGAAGTTTTAGGTGAAAAGGTGATTTGCAAAGGACAAGAGAAAAAAGTTGATTGGACAGTTTATAATTGGTTCATTAAGATGCACAATGGAGGAAGGGAGGAAGATGGCGGAAGAGTAAGACGCGGAGATCACCTTCCTCCCCACAGATACATCAGAAATACGTCTACACGTGGAACTGCTCCTATAGAACACCACTGAATGCTGGCAGAAGACCTCAGACCTCCCAAAAGGCAAGAGACTCGCCATGTACCTGGGTAGGGCAAAAGAAAAAACAGAAACAAAAGAATAGGGACGGGACCTGCACCAGTGGGAGGGAGCTGTGAAGCAGGAAAGGTTTCCACACACTAGGAAGCCCCTTCACGGGGGAGACTGCGGGTGGCGGAGGGGGGAAGCTTCGGAGCCGCAGAGGAGAGCGCAGCAACAGGGGTGTGGAGGGCAAAGCGCAGAGATTCCCGCACAGAGGATTGGTGCCGACCGGCACTCACCAGCCCAAGAGGCTTGTCTGCTCACCCACTGGGGCAGGCGGGGGCTGGGAGCTGGGGCTTCGGCTGCAGCCACCAAAAAGCCTGTGTGCAAGCACAGGTCACTATCCACACCTCCCCTCCCGGGAGCCTGTGCAGCCCGCCACTGCCAGAGTCCCGTGATCCAGGGACAGCTTCCCTGGGAGAACACACGGGGCGCATCAGGCTGGTGCAACGTCACGCCGGCCTCTGCCGCCACACGCTCACCCCGCATCCATACCCCTTCCTCCCCCCTGTCCTGAGTGAGCTGGAGCCGCCAATTCAGCTGCTCCTTTAACCCCATCCTGTCTGAGCGAAGAACAAACGCCCTCAGGTGACCTACATGCAGAGGTGGGTCCAAATCCAAAGCAGAGCCCCGGGAGCTGTGCGAACAAAGAAGAGAAAGGGAAATTTCTCCCAGCAGCCTTAGAAGCAGTGGATTAAAGCTCCACAATCAACTTGATGTACCCTGCATCTGTGGAATGCCTGAACAGACAACGAATCATCCCAAATTGAGGAGGTGGACTTTGGGAGCAAGATATATTATTTTTTCCCCTTTTCTTCTTTTTGTGAGTGTGTATGTGTATGCTTCTGTGTGAGACTTAGTCTGTATAGCTTTGCTTTCACCATTTGTCCTAGGGTCCTGTCTGTCTGTAGTTTTTTGTTTCTTACTTTAAAAATTTTTTTTATTAATAATTATTTTTTATTTTATTTTTTCTTACTTTCTTTTATTTTATCCCCTCCCTCTCTCCCTCCCTCCCTCCCTCCCTCCCTCCCTCCCTTCCTTTCTTTTTTCTCCCTTTTATTCTGAGCTGTGCGGATGAAAGGCTCTTGGTGCTCCAGCCAGGCATCAGGGTGGGACAGCCAACTTCAGGATACTGGTCCACAAGAGACCTCTCAGCTTCACGTAGTACCAAATGGTGAAAATCTCCCAGAGATCTCCATCTCAACACCAACAACCAGCTTCACTCAACGACCAGCAAGCTACAGTGCTGGGCACCCTATGCCAAACAACTAGCAAAATAGGAACACAGTCCCATCCATTAGCAGAGAGGCTGCCTAAAATCACAATAAAGCCACAGACGCCCAAAAACACACCACCAGACGTGGACCTGCCCACCAGAAAGACAAGATCCAGCCTCATCCACCAGAACACAGGCACTAGTCCCCTCCACCAGGAAGCCTACACAACCCACTGAACCAACCATAGCCACTGGGGACAGACACCAAAAACAACGGGAACTACGAACCTACAGCCAGTGAAAAGGAGACCCCAAACACAGTAAGATAAGCAAAATGATAAGACAGAAAAACACACAGCAGATGAAGGAGCAAGGTAAAAACACACCAGATCTAACAAATGAAGAGGAAATAGGCAGTCTACCTGAAAAAGAATTCACAATAATGATAGTAAAGATGATCCAAAATCTTGGAAATAGAATAAACACAAGAAACATTTAACAAGAACCTAGAATAACTAAAGAGGAAACAAGCAAGGATGAACAACACAATAAGTGAAATTAAAAATACTCTAGAAGGGATCAATAGCAGAATAACTGAGGCAGAAAAACGGATAAGTGACCTGGAAGATAAAATAGTGGAAATAACTACTGCAGAGCAGAATAAAGAAAAAAGAATGAAAACAACTGCGGACAGTCTCAGAGACCTCTGGGCCAATATTAAATGCACCAACATTTGAATTATGTGGGTCCCAGAAAAAGAAGAGAAAAAGAAAGGGACTGAGAAAACATTTGCACAGACTATAGTTGAAAACTTCTCTAATATGGGAAAGGAAATAGCTAATCAAGTCCTGGAAGCACAGAGAGTCCCATACAGGATAAATCCAAGGATAAAGATGCCAAGACACATATTAATCAAACTATCAAAAATTAAATATTTATGAAAACATTAAAATCAGCAAGGGAAAAACAACAAATAACACACAAGGGAATCCCCATAAGGTTAACAGCTGATCTTTCAGCAGAAACTCTGCAAGCCAGAAGGGACTGGCAGGACATATTTAAAGTGATGAAGGAGAAGAACCTACAACCAAGATTACCCAGCAAGGATCTCATTCAGATTTGATGGAGAAATTAAAACCTTTACAGACAAGCAAAAGCTGAGAGAGTTCAGCACCACCAAACCAGCTTTACAACAAATGCTAAAGGAACTTCTCTAGGCAGGAAACACAAGAGAAGGAAAAGACCTACAATGACAAACCCAAAACATTTAAGAAAATGGGAATAGGAACATACATATCGATAATTACCTTAAATGTAAATGGACTAAATGCTCCCACCAAAAGACACACACTGGCTGAATGGATACAAAAACAAGAGCCATATATATGCTGTCTATAAGAGACCCACTTCAGACCTAGGGACACATACAGACTGAAAGTAAGGGGATGGACAAAGATATTCCATGCAAATGGAAACTGAAAGAAAGCTGGAGTAGCAATTCTCATATCAGACAAAATAGACTTTAAAATAAAGACTATTAGAAGAGATAAAGAAGGACACTACATAATGATCAAGGGATCGATCCAACAAGAAGATATAACAATTGTAAATATTTATGCACCCAACATAGGAGCACCACAATACATAAGGAAAATACTAACAGCCATAAAAGGGGAAATCGACAGTAACACAGTCATAGTAGGGGACTTTAACACCCCACTTTCAACAATGGACAGATCATCCAAAATGTAAATAAATAAGGAAACACAAGCTTTAAATGATACATTAAACAAGATGGGGGACTTCCCTGGTGGCGCAGTGCTTGGGAGTCCGCCTGCTGATGCAGGGGACATGGGTTCATGCCCCGGTCCCGGAGGATCCCCCATGCCGCGGAGCGGCTGGGCCTGTGAGCCATGGCCGCTGAGCCTGCGCGTCCAGAGCCTGTGCTCTGCAACGGGAGAGGCCACCACAGTGAGAGGCCCGCGTACAGCAAAAAAAAAAAACCCCAAAAAACAAAAACAAAAAAAAACCAAGATGGACTTAATTGATATTTATAGGACATTCCACCCAAAAACAACAGAATACACATTTTTCTCAAGTGCTCATGGAACATTCTCCAGGATAGATCATATCTTAGGGCACAAATCAAGCCTTGGTAAATTTAAGAAAATTGAAATCGTATAAAGTATCTTTTCCAACCACAACGCTATGAGACTAGATATCAATTACAGGAAAAGATCTGTAAAAAATACAAACACATGGAGGCTAAACAATACACTACTTAATAACCAAGTGATCACTGAAGAAATCAAAGGGGAAATAAAAAAATACCTAGAAACAAATGACAATGGAGACATGACGACCCAAAACCTATGAGATGCAGCAAAAGCAGTGCTAAGAGGGAAGTTTACAGCAATAGAATCCTATCTTAAGAAACAGGAAACATCTCAAATAAACAACCTAACCTTGCACCTAAAGCAATTAGAGAAAGAAGAACAAAAAAACCCCGAAGTTAGTAGAAGGAAAGAAATCATAAAGATCAGATCAGAAATAAATGAAAAAGAAATGAAGGAAACGATAGCAAAGATCAATAAAACTAAAAGCTGGTTCTTTGAGAAGATAAAATGGATAAACCATTAGCCAGACTCATCAAGAAAAAAAGGGAGAAGACTCAAATCAATAGAATTAGAAATGAAAAAGACACTGCAGAAATACAAAGGATCTGACACTGCAGAAATACAAAGGATCATGAGAGATTACTACAAGCAACTCTATGCCAATAAAATGGATCATGAGAGATTACTACATGAGAGATTACTACAAGCAACTCTATGCCAATAAAATGGACAACCTGGAAGAAATGGACAAATTCTTAGAAATGCACAACCTGCCGAGACTGAACCAGGAAGAAATAGAAAATATGAACAGACCAATCAGGCACTGAATTGAAACTGTGATTAAAAATCTTGCAACAAACAAAAGCCCAGGACCAGATAGCTTCACAGGCGAATTCTATCAAACATTTAGAGAAGAGCTAACACCTATCCTTCTCAAACTCTTCTAAAATATAGCAGAGGGAGGAACACTCCCAAACTCATTCTATGAGGCCACCATCACCCTGATACCGAAACCAGACAAAGATGTCACAAAGAAAGAAAACTACAGGCCAATATCCCTGATGAACATAGATGCAGAAATCCTCAACAAAATACTAGCAAACATAATCCAACAGCACATTAAAAGGATCCTACACCATGATCAAGTGGGGTTTGTTCCAGGAGTGCAAGGATTCTTCAATATACGCAAATCAGTCAACGTGATACACCATATTAACAAATTGAAGAAAAACCATATGATTATCTCAATAGATGCAGAGAAAGCTTTTGACAAAATTCAACATGCATTTATGATAAAAACCCTGCAGAAAGTAGGCATAGAGGGAACTTTCCTCAACATAATAAAGGCCATATATGACAAACCCACAGCCAACATCGTCCTCAATGGTGAAAAACAAACCATTTCCACTAAGATCAGGAACAAGACAAGGTTGTCCACTCTCACCACTCTTATTCAACATAGTTTTGGAAGTTTTAGCCACAGCAATCAGAGAAAAAAAAGAAATGAATCCAAATCAGAAAAGCAGAAGTAAAGCTGTCACTGTTTGCAGATGACATGATACTATACCTAGAGAATCGTAAAGATGCTACCAGAAAGCTACTAGAGCTAATCAATGAATTTGGTAAAGTAGTAGGATACAAAATTAATGCACAGAAATCTCTTGCATTCCCATACACTAATGATGAGAAATCTGAAAGTGAAGTTAAGAAAATGCTCTCATTTACCATTGCAACAAAAAGAATAAAATTTCTAGGAATAAACCTACTTAAGGGACAAAAGACCTGTATGCAGAAAATTATAAGACACTGATGAAAGAAATTAAAGATTATACAGACAGGTGGAGAGATATACCATGTTCTTGGATTGGAAGAATCACATTGTGAAAATGACTCTACTACCCAAAGCAATCTACAGATTCAATGCAATCCCTATCAAACTACCACTGGCATTTTTCTCAGAACGAGAACAAAAAATTTCACAATTTGTATGGAAACACAAAAGACCCCGAATAGCCAAAGCAATCTTGAGAACAAAAAATGGAGCTGGAGGAATCAGGCTCCCTGACTTCAGACTATACTACAAAGCTACAGTAATCAAGACAGTTTAGTACTGGCAGAAAAACAGAAATATAGATCAATGGAACAGGATAGAAAGCCGAGAGATAAACCCACGCACATATGGTCACCTTATCTTTGATAAAGGAGGCAAGAATATACAGTGGAGAAAGGACAGCCTCTTCAGTAAGTGGTGCTGGGAAAACTGGACAGGTACATGTAAAAGTATGAAATTAGAACACTCCCTGACACCATACACAGAAATAAACTCAAAATGGATTATACACCTAAATGTAAGGGCAGACAGTATCAAACTCTTAGAGGAAAACATAGGCAGAACACTATGACATAATTCACAGCAAGATCCTTTTTGACCTACCTCCTAGAGAAATGGAAATAAAAATAAACAATGGGACCTAATGAAACTTCAAAGCTTTTGCACAGCAAGGGAAACCATAAACAAGACGAAAAGACAACCCTCAGAATGGGAGAAGATATTTGCAAATGAAGCAACTGACAAAGGATTAATCTCCAAAATTTACAAGCAGCTCATGCTGCTCAACAACAACAACAAAAAACCCAAACCAAAAATGGGCAGAAGACCTAAATAGACATTTCTCCAAAGAAGATATACAGATTGCCAAGAAACACATGAAAGAATGCTCAACATCATTAATCATTAGAGAAATGTAAATCAAAACTACAATGAGATATCATCTCACACCCATCAGAATGGCCATCATCAAAAAATCTAGAAACAATAAATGCTGGAGAGAGTGTGGAGAAAATGGAACACTCTTGCACTGTTGGTGGGAATGTAAATTGATACAGCCACTGTGGAGAACAGTATGGAGGTTCCTTAAAAAACTAAAAATAGAACTACCATACAACCCAGCAATCCCACTACTGGGCATATGCCCTGAAAAAACCATAATTCAAAAAGAGTCATGTACCAAAATGTTCATTGCAGCTCTATTTACAATAGCCAGGACATGGAAGCAACCTAAGTCTCCATCATCGGATGAATGGATAGAGAAGATGTGGCACATATATACAATGGAATATTACTCAGCCATAAAGAGAAACAAAATTGAGTTATTTGTAGTGAGGTGGATGGACCTAGAGTCTGTCACACAGAGTGAAGTAAGAAAGAGAAAGACAAATACCGTACGCTAACACATATATATGGAATCTAAAAAAAAAAAAAAAGGTCATGAAGAACCTAGGCGCAAGACGGGAATAAAGACACAGACCTACAAGAGAATGGACTTGAGGATACGGGGAGGGGGAAGGGTAATCTGGCACAGAGTGAGAGAGTTGCATGGACATATATACACTACCAAACATAAAATAGATAGCTAGTGGGAAGCAGCTGCATAGCACAGGGAGATCAGCTCGGTGCTTTCTGACCACCTAGAGGGGTGGGATAGGGAGGGTGGGATGGAGGGAGATGCAAGAGGGAAGAGATATGGGAACATGTGTATATGTATAACTGATTCACTTTGTTATAAAAAAAGAAACTAACACAGCATTGTAAAGCAATTATACTCCAATAAAGATGTTAAAAAAAAAAGATTCAGAATGGAAAGACAAAGCCTTACTTTGAACTAATGTTAATGGAAAATATTTTTATGAAGATGCTACTGACCTATTCATATAAGTGGCTTAGCTTTTCGAAGTGAAGCTGAATATTATAATGTTACAGCAATAGCACTGGATAAAAAATTAACTCTGTAGAACAGCTTTGTGACTTCTTTTAGAAAATTCAATTCTGGATATGTTTTCAGTTTTATAGTTAGTTGTGGTGGTTTATTCTAATCAGCAGTGATTTAAGCTTAAAAAAAAAAAAACAAACTTTTAAGGGCTTCCCTGGTGGTGCAGTGGTTAAGAATCTGCCTGCCAATGCAGGGTACACGGGTTTGAGCCCTGGTCCGGGAAGATCCCACCTGCCGCGGAGCAGCTAAACCCGTGCACCACTACTACTGAAGCCCATGTGCCTAGAGCCCGTGTTCCACAACTAGAGAAAGCCTGCAAGCAACAACGAAGACTGAATTCAGCCAAAAATAAATAAATAAAATAAATTTTTAAAATAACTTTTAATATAGGCATTCACCGAGTAAAATATGTAACAACAGAATTTGTTAAAAGTCATCTTTCTACCTGCCAGTGTTTTTTTTACTGCTTGTCTTAGCCTTGGTTCTGGTTCTCCTAAAAGCACGGCCCAAGACAAAAGCTTGCATCCAGTAGTTTACTGGGGATGTGATCCCAGCGAACAGGAGTGAAGGGGAAATGAAACAGATGGCAGGAAAGCCAATCAAGGACGCATTGAGTTGGAAACAACATAGTACTAGGGCTTGATCTTGAGCAGCCTTATTAAATGTGCCTCTGAATTGTCTTTGAAGGGCGGTTAGAGGACAGTGCCATACCTCTCCTAAGTTGTATATGTCCAGATGCCAAGCAGTTCCTGTAGCTTGTCAGAAGCCAGGAGGCAAGGTGCAGTTGCCCAGTCCTGCTTGAAACTGGTTGCCATACTAGTGGTCAAGTAAGAGGCCAAGAGGATTTGAAGTGACATACGGGACGTCTACCACACTGCTCTTAAAATGACCAGAGTGTTTTAATGCCACCCAAAGTGATTAAATTGGTATTCACTATGATGACGCTAACAGTATTCTCTAATCTAATTTACTGGATAAGTTATGGGTTTGTATATTTAAGATTTCACTTTTAAAAATTTAAAACATTTGAATTTAAGTTGTTTGGAAAAAATAACATAGAATACTATGTTCCTTATATATAAATTATCATTTTATGGACACATGAAGCTCTTTACATTTTTCCCAGAATTTTAAGGGTCAGATGGGAGGAGGAGATAAAGAAACATACTCCAAAGGAACATTAATGAAGTAGAAAAAAAATGCTAGGCTTATAGTCTAATCCAGTTTTACCTTAGACAATTCACTGAACTACTCTGTTTTTTTCCAGCGAAGGATGACCTCCAAAGTCTCTTCCGGCTGTAAAAGTTTATGATTCTTAGACAATAATGCCACTAAAGGGAGGGACCTAAGCCCAGGGAAACCTACTAGCTCCACACGACTAGTGGAGGCATGTGCAAATAAAAATAGACGCGAGACCTGACCTTAAATCTTAGAAGCTGGTGGCTATTTCTAGACTTGTCATGAATGAGACTTCCTTGGTATTTTCCATGTTTTTTTTTTTTTTTTTTTTTTTTTTTTTTTTTTTTTTGCGGTACGCGGGCCTCTCACCGCTGTGGCCTCTCCCGTCGCGGAGCACAGGCTCCAGACGCGCAGGCTCAGCGGCCATGGCTCACAGGCGCAGCCGCTCCGCTGCATGTGGGATCTTCCCGGACCGGGGCACGAACCCGCGTCCCCTGCATTGGCAGGCGGACTCTCAACCACTGCGCCACCAGGGAAGCCATTGTCCATGTTTTAAAGCACTAAGTAGCTCTACCACCTTGTAGGAAACCAGGAGAAATATAAACAATAAAAAGTGACTAGAGATTGATTAAGAACTCTGAATTAAATAGGATATTTAGCAAGGCTTCAGAAAAGGAAGCTAAACCAGCATTTATCTAACTTTGCATTTTGGGCTACTTGCATCAAAATCACCTGAGCCCCTTAATAAAAATGCAGGCTTCTGGTCCTCTCCCCTAACCATATTTACCGATCTCTTTGGAAGGGACTCAAAACCTGCATTTTTAAATAACCCACCAAGTGATTCTCAAAACATCCTACAGTTTGAGAACCTCTGATACAGTATTGTAGGTAAGTGGGAAAATATACAGAAAGCAGATGAGGAAAGAACAAGGCCAGATAAAGAAAAAAATGGATGCTAAAAAATGATAGGATGGCTGAGGAAAGGAAGGATGCAGTATATACTAGGGCACTGTTTCATTTTTCTATAAATTACTGTATATAAACAGAAAACTTAAGCCTATAACCTGCTGAACAAATAGCTTATTAACCTAATTCTAGAAAACTAGAACATTTGAAAGATACCTCAAACTTCACATCATTATTTGAAAATATGTAAGATTTACCTTCTCAGAGCAATTGTATGAGCAACATACAAATAATCAGATGACAACATCAGCACCAAATTATGAATTTATTTTTAGCCTCATTGGGTTGGTTGATTTTGTGTCTCCTTAGCTTTATCTTTTCATCTAACTTTCTCACCTCCTTCTACTTTGTGTATAACCACAAGTCACTTTACATCCTTTCTGAAAAAAATTTTATTTGGACTCAGTCACTAGCACCCAAATAAATAAACAAAAGCCCCCACAAACTTTGTGGAACTCCAAAAGCATTTTAATATGCCCTCCTGTGTGGTAAGGTTAACAAATGAAGTGAAATAATGGTTGTGACCACTCCCTGGTAATAGTGGCAAAACTTCTATGATAATTCTAACAGAAGAGGGCACAACTGTTAAAAGCTACAAACCTTGGTGTTCAGAAGAGCACTTAGCTACAATGGCGCCATTAAGGCTAAAGTGACCTTTTTGGTGATTCCTTGCTACTAAGGCACAGTGTAGGTTTTGCAAACCTAATTATTCAGATCCTAATTAAGTCAAAAATTGACTGTTAGTCAAATACTTGTCAGTTAAATGACACAAAGCTATGACAAGCGTTTACTGAACTAAAATGAACTGCTCTACAATGTTGCACTTAAGCAGCTCCTCTGAGTACAAATGGTACTTTCAGATCTTTCCAGATCTCAGCTGTTCTACTTAAAACAGAACACTGGAGCAGTTGGTTAACCAGTTAAAAGTCTCACATATGAGCATCTAAACTCCCATTAAAGCAAAAATATCATCAATGTCGTCTGTCTCCTTAGTGATTCCTGATGTATTATGTTTATTTATTTGCATCGTTGTCCAAGAATCAGTTTCATTTTCATTGCTTTCTATAAGAGTTTCATGAATTTGTTTCTCCTTAGTTTGTGTGACAGGACTTGAAACTCTTCTACTCAACACTTGCTTATTGTTAGGGTAGAGATCAGTTGTACAAACTGTAGGGTGAGAGAGTCTCCCTTTAATGATATCAGTAGCACTCTGAGTCCCTTGAGGGGGCTGCTGGGTTTCCTTTAAAAGAGTCGACTGCAACTTTCTCTGTGGTTTCCTTCGTTTCAATGAAAATTTATTCTGTGATCTTCGTCTCAGATGATTCTTCAAAGTTTTGCTACCTGAGCCTTGAAGAAGGCAGTTGCAAATTGATGTTTTTATGCACTCTAGTTTCTTTGGCAAACTTTAAGACAGAGAGAGGAAAAATTGGAGATTGTTAAGATGCAGAAAAACATTCTCAGAAACTTTTGTCTCCCTTTTACCAACTTCCAATTGAAAAATATTTATAAGTCCTATGCCTGTGTACAACTCCAGAATCATAAGGAAAAATAAGGAAATAGGAGCTTCAACCCAAGTCTGTGTTTTCAGAGCACAACTTCCCTCTGATTTAGATTGTGAGCAAATGTGTCCCCATTATGTTTCCAAAGTAAAGTAGCTCCTACAAGTAGCAAGGTAACTGAATGGTGAGATATCTCCATATTTTAGTGCCAGAGCTCTTCCCCGATAATTGCTAATCTGTTCATAATATAATAGGAATGGAACTGGGGAAAAGATGAATCACAAATAGAAAAATTGCTAGGATGCATCAACCCATTTCTAGATTAACAGATTCATATTACGGCAGGAAATGAACAAAGAAAAAGGAATAAAAGTGAAGAGGGAGTTTATGTAGAATGAGAAAACAGGGCTCCTGGCATAGACATAATGACAGCCTTGAGCTACCCTAACTGTGATTCATATATCATCTTCAAATTTGGGAATTTGGAACTCAAATGGCCAGTTACTTTAGGTGTTTTGCTTCTGAATAGGGTACACTGCCACAAGGTACATCGGTACCCTGCTAACTGCCTGTTTGTGATAGACTGCAAAAGATTAGCATGAGTCTGTATCTCCTACATTACCCTCTTCCTTTTTAAACAAATATAGAACTTTGAGGAAGCCCATTTTAATGTAGTAATTCATGATCTCTGTTTCCAAACCATTTTGTCTTACCATAAGCAGTAATCTTTAATTGAGGAGAGGGTAGGTGTACTTCCCAATTGAAATGCAAATAGGAAGAATGAAAACAGAAGGATCAGAGGATCTGCACTGAGTTCTAGATCTCCAGCTCTAATACCCTGAGTAAAATCCTGTATTTCCTCATCTATATAATATGAATAATACTACCTACCTCACAGAGTTATTGTGGACATTAAATAAAATTCAAATGTACTACAAATATATTACTGAAACAGCAAACCAGGGCAGAATAAAAGGACACTATATTTTTGTGGGGTGCAAAATAATGGTCTAATCAAATAACTACTAGTTTCTTACCCTCTGCATTAACTTTTAATTATCATCTCTGCCTCATCTACCTCTGACTTTACATGCAGTCTTGAACAGAACACCTCCATCTTAGGCTGAGTTTCTACTCTAGAATGTAATGTAAAAACCCTTAACTTCCCCAACAGCTTTTAATGAAAACTTGCTATAAAACCATCAATATATATATTTTTTACTAAAATAGGAATATCTTTTCCATAAATTTTTAAAGAAAATTTAACAAATTTTAGACTGTGATTCACCCACGGGAACCATTATAAAGCCCTGAATAGATAGAGTAAGTCCCCTACATACAAACGAGTTCCATTCCGAGAGCATGTTCTTAAGTCCAATTTGTTCGTCAGTCCAACAAAGTTAGCCTAGGTACCCAACTAACACAATCGACTATATAGTACTGTACTGTAATAGGTTTAACAAAACTGTACTTTAAGTAGGTCTCAATTTTAGACTACTGGACATTAAAAAGGCTAACTTGAATATATACACTTTTGCCCTAAATGATAATAGAAAAAGTAAAGAAATACAATTTTTGTGATGTACCTACCTATAGCCTTGAGCTTCCACATGTTTAAGCCGGTTGCTTTTAAGAAGTTTATTACCCAGAAAGGTGGTCTGAGCCTTGAGTTTTTTGCTCCTACACCACAGAATTGCCATTTGGATCTCTTCAGAAAGTTGTACGAAAGTGTCAGTTTCTCGGAATCTTTGCACAAGACTTTTTACACAGGGAGTTCCTATTGCTTTCCAAGAAGAACGTTTGGTTGCCTTTAGTTTGGATTGAGAACATTTAAACTCAAAACTGTTCGCCTGAAATATGGAACGATGAGAAAAATATATTGGATTTGTTACTGACTTACATAACAACAGAGAGAAGCTGACTCACAGACTATAAAAATTTGAAAATATGTCTTTTTAAAAGAAGGAAAAAAAGTTTTTTCAGCCCACTATGCTTTCCTTTCTTTTTTTTTTTTTTTTTTTTTTTTTTTGCCGCTCGGCTTGTGGGATCTTAGTTCCCCAACCAGGGATTGAACTGGTGCCCCCTGCGGTGGAAGCGCAGAGTCCTAACCACTGGATGGCCAGGGAATTCCCTTCCTTTTTCTTAAAAATGTTTTTATTCACTGCTCCTAACACAAGATTTTTTCCCCTCTGTGCTACAGCAGATCCCATCTATAGCTAAATTCAGCTGTATACAGGTGACAATATAAATATTTGCATACATATCTATTTATTTAACCTATACATACGAATAAAACTCCACATGATTAAGTATTGGTCAAAGCCTATCTAGTGGGAAAAAAAATCACTGAAGAGCCCTCTTCCTCTAATACTGGACTACCACAACTTGTTTTTCATTTATTTCTATATCCTGAGTCACCCTCCTCAATGATGGGTCATAAATGTTATTGAAAACATGTGAGAATGGGGATGATTGCTGAATGTATGTTAAAAATGCTTAACTGAGCAACATTTCCAACTCCAATCCAACCATCTTTTGATGTGGCACCTTTGGTCTCTTCAACCTCATCTTTCTATATCAAGTCAAGTTTGAATTTTATCAACTTTTACTGTTTATTGAAATATGCCACCTAGTAGGTCTGCTTCCATCCTCTGTTCAAAACTTACCTTCTTCCAAATTTCTCACTCTCAAGAACATAAAGTAGTAGAAAATATGAAAGCAGAGACCTATCAACACTTTGTGTTGGTGATCCATAAAAGTTTGACCTAAAAGTAAGATAAGCATATTGGTGCTAAATGCTAAAAATATGGTAGTCATTGGTCATGCTGGAAACAGCTCACCTAGGAACAGGTGGACGGACTGCAGAAAGTTTCAAGAGTCACAGAGAGCCGTAGTTATTAAGAGAGAGAGCTGACGAAACTATTTGGAGGACTGGTGTAAAGATAAAGGACAAAGACTATGAAACCAAACTGCCTGCATTCAAATCCCAGTTCTGCCCCATATCTGCTGTGTGGCCTGTGCAAATTTCTTGTCCTTTCTGTGCCTTAATTTTCTCATCTGAAATATGGCAACAGTAATAATAGCACCTACCTCACAGGGCTTTTGCAAGGATTATATGAGTTAACACATATAAAGTGTTTTGAACAATGCCTGGCAAAGAGTAAATGCAACGTAAGTGTGATGATGATCATATCTTCCTCTGGAACTTGTGAATCGGACAAAATATAAATGCAAACTGGAATCCTTGTAAGCCTTCAAGAAAGCACTGACTCATTAGAAATGATTAAGAATTCTTGAATGGAAAAAATAACCCATGAAGGAAACCAGAAGAAAACAGTTTTGAAAAGAGAAAGGGTAAAAGAAGTCAAGAAGTTACTGATGAAAGAGGATGACATTGATGTACTTATCCATGTCAGGTCCAGAACAAACAGAATTTGCAGACACTGGCCAAGGAGAGGAATCAGGTTAAAGCTTGAATGCTGACAGGAAGAAAGAAATAGAAGCCTCATGACAAAGGATGAGGATGACGATAATGACGATGAAAGTCGGTAACAATATCTAACACCAATTAAATGCTTACCACACTTTAGACTCTGTGCTGAACACTTTACATGAACTAAAACCGGCACAACCCTATGAGGTACATACTGTTATTAGAAACAGAGGTATGGACAGGCCAAGGAACTTACATAAGTCACAGAGTAGTACAAACCAAAGCCAGGACTCAAACCACTTCTGTCTGATTGTAAAGCCCATACTCTTAAGCTGCAGTACAATCCACTCCTATGATGGATCCTAGGATCACTTTAAAATTCTAGCAAAACTCTTAGTAAAATGTTTCTGAAGGCACCATATTAACTGAATTAACTACATGCACTCAAATCCCTTGGGAATGCCTCTATTCATTCAGAAACACACACTGAGAACTAAGATGGCACTACTCTTAGAGTTGGGGATAAAAACAGAAGATTCAGTCCCTGCCATTGGTAAGTGGCATCTACTCTACAAATCAGCAGAAATCATAAGCTATATTAAAATAAGCCAGACAAACCTGAATAGCTCTGTGTTTCAGCTGTTTGCAGAAAGCCCTCACGTCAAATTCTGATGACTTTTCTGTGAAGATGGAAAGATCACAGATACAAAAACTTAGGCATACTATTTTTAAATCAACAAATTCTTATGTGCATGACTACATTTCTTGCCAAATTACTACAAGAGAAACAAAGGGAATTAAGCAAGCAAAGAACTATGAAGCAACAACAGAAACAACTTTATATGCTCAAGCTGAGAAAACACAGGTATTAACATACCTCTCTAAGAATAATCAGAGTTAAAATTAAGAAGATGCTGAATTTCTTCCTACACAATGCATGACTACATTGTAATTTCAAAAGTTTTTTGTTTGTTTTTTTTAGAGTATGTGCCATATCAAAGCAAATTACCTTTTAAGATTTTCTTATTCTTTACTGGCTGTCCAAGATCCACATTATTCTGAGTATTGATCTTCATTTGTTTAGCTTTTTTGGAAATTCTAAGTAATGTTTCTTCACTGGACCTCTGTGATTGCTCTTTTGTTAAAAATAGTTTATTTAGCAGTTTAGTTACTCCTTTAGCTGCAAAAGCTGTAGGCATTTTTTTCTTAAAGATTTCAAAGTAGGGCTCTCCTAAAAATTCAGCAATATCAGAAGGAAAGGTAAAACCTTTGAAGTAAGGCAATGGTTGAATCCTGGAGACCTCTTGAAGTAATCCAAACAATGGCTCATATAAAGAAACCAGCCTTTTTAAAACATCTTTATAGAGAACCCTAGAGAAAGAAGAAGGATCTCATGAATTAGCTAGTAATTATCATTTGCAGATTACATAATAATAAGAGAGTCAGGGCTTCCCTGGTGGCGCAGTGGTTGAGAGTCCGCCTGCCGATGCAGGGGACATGGGTTCGTGCCCCGGTCCGGGAAGATCCCGCATGCCGCGGAGCGGCTGGGCCCGTGAGCCATGGCCGCTGAGCCTGTGCGTCTGGAGCTGTGCTCCGCAACGGGAGAGGCCACAACAGTGAGAGACCCGCGTACCACAAAAAAAAGTGAAAAAAAAATAATAAGAGAGTCAAAGCTGAAAATAATGCCTGTGAATCTGCCACTATAGATTAAAAAAACGCTCAAGCGGACACTTGCAAAGAGCTAGATTAGTCCAGCCTAAACAGAAAAATGCAAGTACAAAATGCTATATAAAACCAAATAAAGTACTACATGGAGAGATATCTCAAAAGATGTGCCTCAAAATCTTAAGTGTGGTTTTATCTAGATGATGAGATTTTAGGCAAATTTCAGGTTCTTTGCATTTTTTCTATTTTTAAAAGTTTCTTAAAATAACCATGTATTATTATTATAATCAGCAAAAATCAAAGCTATTTTCATTATAGGAATAATGAAGGTTTGATATTTTAAAATAATACAATTAGTAATTCTAACACTGTTAGTACTAAAAACAAGCAGAATAAAAAATAAGATGATTGGAAATAGTACTTGAGATATCCAGGTTAAGATATCAAAGCAAGGTTTAGAGAGAATTTTCTCTCTTTTTTTTGGCTTTCATTCAAATTAGAGCTTATCAAACCAATTGTTTAAAATGGCCCAAAACAGTTCTCCTTATAAATATGGGCAGATTTTGAATCCAATTATCCATCAAATAAGTTTCATAATATATATTGTGAGATGCAAGGGAAGGGCTCTTTGGTTTGCAACTAATATTATCAGTGTTCTTTACATCAACTAACTATGGCTCAAAAAGCAGTGGTGGTTCAGGTGGAAGAAAGGAATCTAGAAAACATAAGGAAGGTAATTGCCATTAAAAGTTAGAAACCTAATGGCAGAAACAAATGATACAGACTGCTCAGGAACACCTTCATTTTAAATGGCCCAGCTGCTGAATGATTAGAGGAACCCTTTTTTTTTTAAAATTCCAGCTGCTAATCCTAGGAATTCATTTGCTTAGTTGTTTAGTGTTGAGGTGATCTCATGGATTCAGATTCAAAGCCTAATCCTTTGACATAACCATCAACACTTAGCTTCCCAATCTACCCCAAATAAACTCTGATCAAATGAAGAAACAGAATTCCTGCACCTTCAGCATCCCATGGGAAAGCAAATATGAAAACTACTAATAAGAAACTTAGTCTGAGTTAGAGAAATGAAGGATTTCAAAGGTACATACATACATACCATAACCTGCTCACCAGCCCAACCATCACAAGGTTTAAAATAATGAATTCTTGCAAACCTAGATGTTTCACAGTCAAGCTGGAGAATCAAGTTAAAATTGGAAAACAGAATCAAAGGAATTTAGGTTTCTTTAAGTTACATTTATGAAAAAAACAGACTGGAAGTAGAAAGAATTTTCTTGAAGGAACTAAAACCTTAAAACATGTTCTATTTAAGTCACGGAAGCTTAAAAATAAAGTAATATACACTCTGCTAGAGGAAAAATAAAGTAATACACACTCTGCTAGAGGTCTCATATAAATTTAGTTTCTAAGATTAAGAATTTCTAACAGTCAGTGCCCTTAGGATAATACATACTAGGTAGAGACAGAAGTCTCTGGCAATGGCTATATCAGGCAAATCCCAGGAAAAGGAAGCCAAAGAGCAAAATTTTAAGAATTCCCATAAGTTATAACTCCTACAGACTCCCTAGCTTTCAAATAGAAATACTATTAAATATATCCCAACAATTCCAATTCAGAAGAAGGTACTTTAGTTGATTCAAGGATACAGAAATGTCTTGCAGCAACAGTCCAACAAGCGAAGTAGCAACTTGCAGGCTCCCAAAATCTTCATCAACACCAGTTCCACCACTGGTTGGCTAGGGATGACACATGCTTTGGTATTTACAGGCTGATTTTCACTTGGCAAAAATAGAAAAGTACATTACTTTCATTCTTAAATATAAAGCACTTATATAGCAGTTTTCAAGTGCAGACTTGCTTTAAGCTCAATTTGAGGTAGTTATGTTTAATAATGACTCACTGAAGTTGACTGACACTTATGTTTCAAAATAATCTACCATGACCCAGATTTCAATGTCACACCATTTCCTCCCACTGGCCGAGAGAGGGAGATTACCACAGAATACCAGGGGCCTTTTATTGAAACAAAATTTGTACAGCTAAGGTATAATTGTTTATATTCTAACAATAAGTGAAGCAAGTCTAAAGCGAGGTCACAGCAAGACACTGGGTTCCCAGCCCACCAAAAAGCCCATTACAAAGCAACTGGACCACTTACTTAGAAGAAAATGACTCAGAGAGCTCTTGAATTGAACCTTCCAAATTCATGCTTTTCAAGCGTTTTAAACATTGTTCAACCTGAAAGGGGAAGAGCAGCTCATGTGTGACACAGACAAAGCCACTGATGTGACCAGGAAAACAAAGAAATACAAAATTTCAAAGTATGGAAATACACTCAATACCAAAGAATGCCTTTTTTTAAGGGTAAAGAAACCCATAGCCCAAAGCAATTGCTTCTGGTTAAAAATTTGAAATTTATCCAGCCAAATAAATTCTTCAAATCAGGTTATGACTAAGAATTTATTGTACTACATGCCAGGATGTGCTTGATGCTATAAAGGGGACCAAGGTAAGTATAAGATTATTCTCAAGATTTTATTTTTTCTGAAGCAACATGATTTCTAAGAGTGAAACTATTAAAACAAGATAGTAAATTATTAAGTACTAAATTTCAACAGTCTGTAAGTGCCACAGACATAAGGGATCAAGTGATAGAGGGATTGGGCATTGTAAACATACAGGACCAGGTGAGCAAAGGCTCAGAGGAGGGAACGAATGTGGTGAGTAGGAGGACTCACGAAGAGTTCAGGCCGTCTGAAATACAAAATATATGAAGATGAAGACCAGAGAGAAGCCTGAGCTAAGGAAAACTGAAGAGGCCAGATCACGGGGGATCTTGTAAGTTAACCTAAGAGGTTTCCTCTTTATTCAGGAGACAGTGGAGAAATATTAAAACTTAAAGCTGTGTTTTAGGATGATTAACCTGGCTTTGGTACACATGAATAGGCCGGAGTGGAGGAAAGACTGGAAGATGAAAGATCAGTCAGAATTGCAAGACAACTAACAATTGACAAGGTCTGAAAAAAGAAATGGCAGCCAGAACTAAAAAGGGACTAGATGCAGAGAAAGTTTTGACTGATCAGTTGGCCGGATAGGAGAGCTATGTAAAAGAAAGAAGCAGAGAAAACAGAACACCAAATTTTTCTGACCGGATAATTATTCGCAACTTGGAAGCCGGGAGGAGAAATACGTATGTTCAATCTGAGATGGTAAGTTTGGTTTTGGCGTTAAAGACTCAGAAGGAGATAAAAGCTGCCCCAGAGAAGAAAACTTAAGAAAGACCATGATCCCAAATTTTCCTTTGATGAAAAAATCTTCATCTTTTTTGCCTTAAGTAATGGGAGTGGAAAACTAACCAGAGAGCACATGAATCTGTAAGGTTAGAGACTATGTCTGTCTTTTTCATCCTGTACACCTAGCACGAAGCACAGTGCCTGGCACATAGAAAGTTTCAAAAATACTTGGAGAATTAATAAAATGAATGAATGAATGGACACGTAAGGAACTCAGGTTAGGAGGCTCTACTCTGTGGTGTAGTCCCTGAGCTGGAGGGCCCAATTTTGTCTTAAACTCCAAAAGTTACACAAAACCACTTTACATAACTTGTTATATACTCATTCAATATATTACCAATTAGATTACATACCCCACAATAAACAGACTGCAACTTTGTTCTTTTTATGGTTTTGGGATTTTGATTATGGTCAGGAAAATTGTTTCTTAATCCAAAACTCTGTCTTGATCAAAGTACTCAATCTTTAAACTAGGCAGAGGCATGGTACTTTATTATAGATTGCATATAATGAAGAAAATTTTTCATAAAAATTACCTATAATAAGATAAATAAATAAAAAGTAAACATAAAAACAAAAAATTACCTACCTACTAGAAACAAGACTGGGAAAGAATCCAACATAGTTCCTTTTTAAATTGTTTTTTGAAATGCTTTCAGGGGAAGAAAGAAAAAAAAGCCCACATGCAATTGCAAGATGACCTATAAATCACAAGTAAGTTACTGCGATTAAGTTACAAAATATTAAATGGCAGTGTGATCTCCATCTTCATCAACTCAAACATGTTGAGTATTAAACACAGGGCTCCCACCTTACCTGTTTGAGGGCCAAATGGGGCTTGTGGCGGCCCATTCTGTTGTGATTGCTGTAAAGGACTGCACATAATACATCTGTTTCTGCATCTAAGATTTGGCTCTTCAGTGACAATGTAACGAGACAGCATTCTTTAATTACAGCTGCAATGCAAAGGTCTAAAGCAGAGATGTTTCGTAAGACTTAATATGCATTTCTACATTAAGTATATTCTATAAAAAATACACTGAAAGAAGCATATTTCCTTATGTTTTAAAGAAATCAAGAACAAATTAACATAATCAGCCTCACCTGTAAGAACATAATTAATGTTTCCAAGTATGTGAGAAGTGACATAGGAAGGAAGTGATCGTACAGTGACAGATGATATCAAGTCCAGGAAATCATTAAGAGAACATGTGTTAAAGTAGAATGTACATCTTTACACCACATTTTATCATGATCTTAATAATCTTTCATACGAATACTCTGCAGTCATTTGGTGTACACTTAACACTTCGAGTACCTTAAAGGTGGGACGTGTTGTATACTTCTCTACCACTTTAAGAATATATTCAGAAGAGAAATCACTATAACAGCTGGAAATTATATTACATAATGAATGTCTGACTGAACACGGGGTGCTTATTTAGTAAGACAAGGTAACAGCCTCCTAGTCTGAAAAAGCTGTGAACAGAAGATGGGAGTAAATGTGTTCTCTATGGCTCTAAGGGTAGCAGTAGCATCCTAAGTGGCAGTAACACAAAGGAAGACTTACACACAATGTGGAGAACTTTCTTACTATACGAACTATTTGAGGCCAGAATGGGCTGCCTTTGGGGTGGGGGGAGACTTGGTGAATTTCCATGCCTAACAGAATCCTGTTAAAGAATCTTTGAATAGAGGAAGGGGTAAGATTAATCTGTAAACTGAGCAGGATGGATGGATGGGGAGGGGGATGTGATGATTAGATAAGTTACAAGTATTTAATAATAACAGCTGTCATTTGAGTGTTTATTTACTGTATCAGGCATTGTTCCAAATGCTTTACCTATAATGTTAATTCTTTCATCAGAACAGCTCTATGAGGCAAGTACTATTTTTATCCCCACTTGAAAATGCGGTTAAGCCCAGAAAGGTTAAATAATGACATTTCCCACTCCTCACCCCAGCTCCAGCAGAGAGAAGAGCCAGGATTCAAACCCAGGCAATTTGGCTCCTGAGCCCAGCGTGTACTGCCCTACTGCCTAATAACGGCAATGCCACCATACCTTGATAGAACACTTTAGACCACGCTCTCCTAAATGACATTATTAGATCCTCCCAACAACCCGGTGATAGGGAAAACTAACCCCATTTTACAGATAAGAAACGAGGGATCCAGAAAGATTGCGGTTTAACTGCAGAGTGCTTGAGTGACGACCCGCAGCCTCTCAGAGGCAGAGGTCGAGAAAGACTGAGGGGGAACCACAGCACTTGGTGGCCTGAGTGAACGCAGGGTCCCCAAGCAGCAATTTTTCCTGACGCTAGCTGCGTCCGCCCTCTTTCCCCATTTCGGTGCGGGGCTGGATCTTGGGCCTTCGGCGCCCCAGCCAGGCCCTGCGGTAGACTCGGTGGGTCCAGCGAGGAACGGCGATGCCTGCAAAATTCCTCAGCAAGCTCTAGGACCCAGGCCTCTATCGGTCGCGGCCCTGCGCAGCGTCCCGCGGGTTCCGGAAGTCCCGCCCCCACCCCGCGCACGTGCGCCTGCCTGACGCCTCCTCCGGAAAAGCCTGTACCCCTCGCCGGGCGCCTCACTCACCCAGCGCCGCGCCGGGGTCCTGTACGATCACTGTGCTGCGGCTCCCCGCCTTAGGGAGCCTCACGCGGTTCCATGGCTGCGGGCCCGGCAGCAGCGCAGCCATCTTGGGAGGCAGGAGAGGGACTGGGAAAGGTGGACCTGGGCGAGGCCCAGTGGAGCGACCGAAGGAGGGGCGACGAGCCGACGTCAGGGGAAGGTAGAGGGCAAGGGGTGGGGCGGGGGCGGGGCCCGGGAGGGGAAAGGGGCGGGTCCTTCACGAAATAGTGGACCAAGTACGGTGAACCTGAAGAACCCAGAGAGTCATCCAGCCCCTGGTCACTAATACCTGGCCGCGTAGCAGAATTACTTGGGAGAATTTGGGGGAACCGCATCCCTGTACTACTCAATCAGAATCTCGGAATGGGGCGAGGAATCCGCCTTGTGCTTATGCTTCCCCACGGAAGCACAACCAGTTTCGGTACTACTTAAAGGTATTTTACAGATGTGGAAAGTGAGGTCCGCAGTTGAGTTGGTGCATACGCCCCCATCTCCACCTCAACCATTAGCGGAAAAGGAAGAAATGAAATAAAGAGACTTATGCAAAGTGTGCATTTGTAACGCAGAAGTAATTTAAGTTAGTCAAGGAAGGCTCTACCTGGAGCAGCAGCAAAACCACGATCATAGAAACTTGGAGGCCGTCTGACTCTCCATCAACCCCATCTTCTGTCAGTGTCCAAAACAAGACGATATACCAAGCTTTCCTGATCCTCACCTCATTTATATCTTTCTAATAGTTCATTTATCTTCAGCTACCCTGATACCAGCTTACTTAAGGCCCCCCGCGAATGTATTAGAGAGGCAGTTAGTGGGTTTTGAAGACGGACCAGCAAGGTTTTGATTCTAGATCTGCCCTTTACTAGCTCTATGATCTCAGGAAGGTTACCTAACTCCTCCAAATCTTAGTGTTCCTACAGGTAAAATGAAGATAATAATACAAACTTATAAAGTGCTCACAGTTAAAAAGTGCTTTAGAATAGTGTCTGGCATACAAACAGTATTTACTGTTAGCAGAATTCGTATTGTTGATATTTTTACTGTTTAATACAAATAGCCACGCCACACTGAAACACTTTGCATGCTCTCTGTGTGTGCCTTTGTACATATTAATTTCTCTATCTGGGCCATTTCCCTGAAACACAATCTCCCTCAGCTCTGGTGTCATCACCTCTAGGTAATTCTTCCTGAGCATCCCATTCCCACTCCATAGCTTGATGTAGAGACGACTTTATGTACACCCGTAGTGCCCTGTGCTGGCCTCTGTATTAGCCTCCTATTGCTGCTGTAACAAATTAGTACAAACATAGTCACTTAAAACAACACAGTTATTATATTACATTTTTGGAGGTTAGAAGTCCAAAACGGATCTCACTGGACTAAAGTTGTCAGGGCTGGATCCTTCTGGAGGCTCTAGTGGAGAATTCATTTTCTTGCTTTTTTCAGCTTCTAGAGGCCACCTGCATTCCTTGGCTCATGTCTCCATCCTCCATTTGCAAAGTCAGTAGCATAGCATCTTCCAATCTCCCTCCAGCCTCTCTTTCTCTCTCACCCTCCTGCCTGCCTTCATCTTAAAAGGACCCTAGTGATTACACTGAGCCCACCAGAATAACCCAGGGTACTCTCCTCATTTCAGAGTCTTTAACTTAATCATATCTACACAATCTGTTTTGCAATGTAAGTAAACATATTCATAGATTTGGGTGATTAGGATGTGGCTGTCTTGTGGGGGGGGGCATTATTCAGGCTACCACAGACTCTCACAGAATTTACCTCACTGTACTGTATTAATTTGTATATTTGTATGTCTCTTTCTCCAGTGACATGTGAGCTGACTGAAGGCAATACTACCAGTGTAGCTTACTGATCTTTATATCACAATGCTTAGCTCATAGCCTGGTGTGTAGTAAGACCTCAATAAGGCTTTAACAGCTTTGTCGAGGTACAATTGATATACAGAGAACTGCACATAGTTAATGTGTACAATTTTACTAGTTTGTCAATATTTACTGGCTACATAAGGGACTAGATGATGCTTGAATAGAGTTTTTGAAGAACGAGTAGGAATTTCCCAGGCAGATAAGGGAAGAAGACATTCCTGACAGAGAGGTGGTAAACAACATGAGTTGGAAGAATCATTAGTCCTGGCTGAGTCAGTATTGCTGGAGCATGACGTGTTCTGAGGGATGAAGCTGGGAGTAGTGGTGTCAGATCAGGGACAGAATTTGGATTTACCCTGAAGGCTGGTGATTCCCAGACCTGGCTGATCACAATTACCTGGATAGTCTTTTTTAAATATTTAGAAAATTTTCGGGCCCCACTTCACACATTCTTATTCATTAGGTCTGAGTAGGGCTCTAATCTGGGTTTTTTAAAAGCTCCTTGTGATGGTGGTCTGCTTTAGGGATCCCTTTCTGGAGGTGACAAAGGAGTCACTGAGAATTAGGCTGGGCAATTTGGGCACCTTGCATCAGAGGACGAGCACTCTGGAGAACAGGTTTGAAGGAGATGAGACTGAAGGAAGGGACCTAAGGGAATCTGTTACAAAAGCTGAGGCAGGAGATAATGAAGGCCTGAATTCCAACTCTGGCACTGAAGATGGACAGTATGACTTATTTAGATGTCTGGTACTTAGGTATTTAAATGTCTAGTATGACTTCCAGACTTTTGCCTTGAGTGTGACATGTGGCATCCAAAAGAAGAACAAATTTAGATACATCTAAATAATAGGAATAATGAGATAACTTTTGATGTACTGAGTTTGAGATTGCCCATGGGCTGCCCACAAGAGTATGTCCAATTCGCCAGTTGAATAAATGGGACTGTAGCTCAAAGGGTAATTGCAAAGGGAGGGAGTAGAGATGATGAATATAGGATAACGTTTTTAGCGGCTTAGATGAGAAGGGAAGGCCGAGTTTATGTGATAACAGAGAGATGTAGGATCAAGCAGGGTATAGTTTTGTTCTAATTTTAAGGATAGTGCATCAGTTAGGGTTCCACCAGTCAAACAGAACCAGTAGGCGATATATATATATATATATATATATATATATATATATATATATATATACATACACTTTTGAAAAGAAATTGGCTCGCATGCCTGTAGGGGTTGAATAGTCAAGTCTGAAGTCCATAAGGCAGGCTGTTGTAAATGGCAGTCTGGAAACTCAGGCAGGAGCTGAAGCTGCAGTCTACAGATGGAATTTCTTCTCCTTCATGTCCTCAGGGAAACCACAGTTCTGTTCTCAAGGTCTTTTAAACTGATTGGATTAGGCTCATCCAGATAACCCAGGATAATCTCCTTTACATACAGTCGGCTGGTTGTAGTTGATAATCACATCTACAGAATGCCTTCACAACAACACCCAGACTCATGTTTGATTGAATAACTGGGTGCCCCAGCCTAGTCAAGTTGACACATAAAACTGACCATCACAGACAGAAAGTGGTTTCATCACCTGAACAGGGTAAGAGAAATGGGGCCAAAAGAGTGAGAGAAGCTGGACCTACTAAAGAGATAAAGGTGAGAGAATTGATGAAGAAACACCCATTCATTCAACAAAGTTTGTGAGCATCATCCCAGAGGAGACAAGCAAAGGTGGGATCAAGAGCTCAGGTAGAGGGGTTGTCTTAAAGATCAACAAGCCTTTGTCCTCTGAGCCAGGAAGAAAAATCAAGATAGCTTTAGACATGGCTATGTTTGGAGTACGGTAACAGAAAGATGAGGGAGCTCCTATGTTGTCAGTGAAGGAAGATCATTACCAAGAGGGGAGGGCAGGGAGATGGGTTCTGGGCGAGCAGTGGATATTTAAAATCAGAGTTTCCTTGAACTGGGGGATATGGAAGAGGCGTGTGTTCTGTATATTAGGGAGAAAGTAAAGATTTACAGCTATGTTTTTAAAATTTCAAATTTGCAAAGAAAGACTGCCACAGACACAAATGACCATGAAATAGACAGAACCTTGTCCATCTCATTAGCACTTCAAAAAATACAGATTAAAATAATTTCACAGTATTGTGAAATTATATAGACAGAGTAAAAGCATGGTGTCTCATGTTACTAGGACTTTGGACAAAAATTCAGATACAAAGTGATCCTTTGTTGTTGTAATCATGAAAATGGAAAATGATATATTCACACAATGAGTCAGTGGTTTTCTAATATTTTGGCAGTGGAATTCTTTTTCCCTCACAAAATCTTAACACAGAAATCAAATATATAAAACAGTAAAAGCAGAACTGTAGTGGTTAAGGGTACAAAGGAGAACGCAGGGCCCTCCCATAAAGGCCTCCTTCCCAGGCTCCTAGAAGTACCTCATAAGACACTTCCTAGGGACAGTTTGGAATCCACTGTTGTAAATAAATAAATATGTGTTGATGTGTGCAATTGTTTACCATACATTAAGGTGTTTTCTAAAGCAGTTTAGAAAACGCTATGTACAATGTGATTACATGCAAAAATATACCTCCACATATAGAGAAAAAGGTCTGGAAGGATCTAAATGAAGGTGTTAACAAAGATTATCTTTTCAGCAGTAGGATGGATCTTTTCTTCTTCTATGAACTTATTTGTACTTTCTGAAGGAAAGAAATACATGTTGCTATTGTAATGAGAAAAAAATATTTTTAACGTTACGTGTGTATCAAACTCTTAGGATGTGTGTGTGTGTGTGTGTGTGTGTGTGTGTGCGCGTGCGCGCGTGCATACACCAGCATATTTGGAGACATACATTTTTTGGCCCATCCAGCTACGGTCTTTCAGCTCTAATCTCATGCGTCTATACTTTGCTCTGTGATGCGGGGCTGGGATTCTGCAAAAACCACATGGTCTTTGCCAGCTGCTGGTTATACCCATATGGACCACTAGAAGGAGATTGGAAGGCAGGAGGAGGAGAGAAGTTCCTGTTTGTTTTCTTATTCCTGGTAGTGTTGCCAGGCAACAGCTCTTCATCCTAGGTAATGACAGTTGCTTCTAGTCCCTGACTCATTTTTACACACTGGCAGAACTAACTGACCCCTCTAAGGTACTAACAGCACCTGAATGATGTTCTTTTGTCAAAGATCTGAGTCCCAGTTCTGCA